AATCTGGTGGGGACGCGTACCCACCGCCCCCACCGAAATCGACGCCTATGCAAATATGTGATACTGTCTAAGTAAATACAATATATTTTTTATATATAAATGTTCAGTTTTGGTTAGTCTATTACCCAGGCTGCCAAGGCAACTGCAAAAGGCTGCAAATATAAATGGACAGATGTCAGCATCAGTGAGATGTCCGCTAACTTACCTAACTAACCATCAGCCTTCAGAAATCATTCTGATATGATTTTTTTTTTTAAATCAATGTTGGAAACAGTTGTGCTGCTTAAATAAGCCACATACCCTCTATGTAGATATCAGAGACAAAATTATTGGGCATCTTTAAGTTCCGTGGTGACTTTAAAAAAAAAACACAAATAAAGGCCGACTCCACTCATAGGTATAGACATAACCCATACACACATAAAGACTTGGGCATGTCCCCATGTTATATTAGCCTACTTATGATTCTTTAGTTATGTTAGGGTAATTTTAAATGCTTATATTCATATGGGAGAATGTTTCACTCCTTTAATGTCTTCACATTTGGTATTAAAATGTCCCTCTCTTTATGCCTTAATTATTGATGTACAATATCTTACGATAAAATGCATTATATTAATTTTTAAGGTTTAAGGATATACAAAGAAATAAATTTCAGGTAATTTCAGAAAAGATGTGTGTGTATTGATGTGTCCTTATAAGAGACGTACACTAGAACATCTTCGCTCATTTTGCTTATTTCTTCTTCGGATGAGACAACACTGTCCTGACTTTCCAGCAACTCGCTTTCAAGTAAAACCTTTTTGTAAACATCCCACGAACGACTCAATCTCTGGAGGAATCCAACTAAGCTTCAGCTCACGAACGCCTTACTCAGCAAAAAAAAAAAGCAAAAAATGCATTTGATTCTTTGCTGGCTCTCAAAGGTTAACTGTTTGTGATATCTGCCATTCTTTGATCTTCTCTCTCTTTCTTTCTTTACTTTTGGTTATTCTGTGTATAAACATCCTTTGTATACAAGTTTGTTGTATGTATTCGTATAGTTCCATTTATTGAAACCATATAAATAAACATCACAATTGAACCTTTTCCACATAAGCATGGCTCAATAAGTCTAGAACATGTATGCTAACCACTAAGTCTTTTGTCCTTCTCTCTTACGTAAGCTGACGTGAATTTCAAGCAAATTATTATTCTTAAAGCAAACATTTGTTTTGAAGAATAATGTACCACAGCACAAGATCGAAGATTAATTCAAAAGCTGAACAACAGTACTAGCAATTGTACTATCCACATAGACTACAACAGTAAAGAACACTTTAAGGAAGAGTCTGTTGTTTTCTGAACCTTATCTATGAATCAATTCATAGACCTTATCATTACTTACTCAACACTACAGTCAGGTTGCAAGCCACAGCTTTCTTTCTTAAACCAACTGCTGCCTAATAAGTCAATGAATATATAATGAATGAAGATATCTTCAACAGGAAGAATAACATCTCACCTCATGATCTACAAAAATATAAGAAAGCCTTAGAGACATCTAGGCAAATATTTATAACTATACAATGTTTACTTTTCAGTAAAAAAAAAAACTTATATTAATAAGTTTAACATAAATGAGCATATACTCTATCATTCAAAAGTTTGGGGTTGATCTGTTTTGTCTCTTATGCTTATCAAGGCTGCATTTATTTTCTGTTGGCGCCAATAGCTATGTAGGCAGCGCTGACATATAGCGCCATTGCGCTTGGGGCAACCCGAGTTCGAGTTCCTGGTCAACTTTCCCGATCCCGTCCCCTTCTCTCTTTTCCCACCTTCCTTCCTGTCCACTCTATACTTTCGTATCCTAATAAAGGCAAAAATCGCCCAAAAAAAAAAACAAAAAAAAAAAACTTTTTTTATATTTTAAGATATAGCCTAATCTATTCCTGTTATGGCAAAGCTGAATTTTCAGCATCATTATTCCAGTCTTCAGTGTCACATAATCCTTCAGAAATCATTCTAATATGCTGATTTGTTGCTCAAGAAACATTTCTTATTATTATCAATGTTGAAAACAGGTGTGTTGCTTAATATTTTTGTGGAAACCATGATTTAAAAAAAAAAAATTCTTTGATGAATAGAAAGTTACAATGAACAGCATTTATTTGAAATAGAACTATAGGGATTATAAAATGTCATATATAAATGTCAATTTTGATGAATTTAATGGATCCGGTTACCACCCCTATTAACCCTCTGGGGACCAAGGGTTTTTTGGGGCCCTTGGGATGTTTTGACATGCACTGACATTTGTGCTTTTTTCAGTTATTTATAAACATGTTAATGGCAAAGGTGTAAATTCACTCTATATAGCACAAACGGGGCTACCATAATCTGTGAGCAACATGTATGTACATGTTTGTATTTTTGAGAGAATATTATTTATGCATGGTTATTGAAAAACTTAAAAATAAAAGTTTATGAAATAAGGCCACAAAACACATTGATTATTTCTTCACAAGACTTTTGAAAATTGTATCACATAGTCTAGAATATTTGCTCCAAAACTATGTGAGAATCATCCTGACTACTCATTCAGATAAGTCAATAAAGTCTTTTATAATGTGTTTGACGTGTTTAGTGTGAGAAAGCTTTATGCAAGGAGGCGTGATCTCTCATTAATATGTATGGCATTTCACACTTGAGAAAGACAAAGACCCTCCCATAATGGCCCTATTAGGTGCTATCAGGCCCCATTACGAGGAGCCTTGCACAATGAATGAGGAGATTTAAAAAAGAATGGCTTTTAGATTGTTTGGATTTATTTTACAACACAACATAATCCAAAGATACACAACAAAGGACAAAAAAGCACATTAGTAAACACACTGATCTAAAAACAGAGGCTTGCACAGTCACACAGCATTGTCCCATTCCTGAAACATAGTACATACCTGTCATTTCCAAGGTGTTTGATTTTTCATTACAGTCTCCTGTGAATGTTGAAGTCAGCAGGACTGATATCAAGAGAAACTATATGGCTGCACGACTTTGGGCATGCATTGTAGATTTTTCTGGTTAAAATAGCTTTTTAATTGTAGGCTATATATATATATATATATATATATATATATATATATATACACACACACACACACACACACACATACTGCTTAGAATTAGAAGTGAACACACCCATGCTAAAGTTGACTAAAAAGAGGAATAAAAAATCTAAATGCCTCAATTAAAAAATGAGGAAAACTCTAACCTTTATGGACGTGAATAATGTCCCTGAATTCTTTGTGAATGAATAATGTATCGCAAATAATTAAATGTTCTTCTTTAAAATACAGGGTGCATACCTCTGGACACTTCTATCCCCAGAAACTCCTAACAAAAGCTGATGTCTTTATTTTGAAGCTTATTTGAAGCTTATTTGATGCTTATTTGATTTGAAAAACTTTATCCAAAACTAGTCAACGAAATTTTGTCTTTTATTTCGTCTGTAACAGTGTGTATCTGTGCGTTCATTCATTCATTTACACACACACACAGAGAGAAACATGATTCACATTTAAACAGTATGCTATTTTTCCGTTTACAGACACTAACGTTATTCTATATCGCGATTAGAACAAAGCACAGCCATAAAACACTTACAGTTCTCAGCTGAATCTGTTGCTCCTCCTCGAAGTGAAACCAGCACTTCTGTATTAAATGTCCCAGGATTATTCCTCAATCATAGCCGCGCAAGACGAATCTTAATCTGACTAAAAAATATAGTGCGTTTACAGCATTTGCCTGGGGGCGTTTATCTATTTTGCAAATGGCCTCAACACATTATCTTATGAATAGCGCGCTCTGCGAGTGGGTGTGAACAAATTAACGATAATGAGCTGAGACAGGAGAAACTGTACTTCTCTTTAGTTTCAGACAGATTACATTGCAGGAGAATATTTGTTTTAAATGTGAATTGTTTTATTTAAAAGAAGAAATTTAAAGCGTTCTTTAGACGTATGTTTCATGTTTGTATGATAAGTATTAGCGGAGTTTCCGTTCATTTTCCAGACATGTTTCAGAAAGATTTTTGCGGAGACAGAGTGAGCTGAAAGCGCACCCTGTTTACTTTATTTATTTAAAAAAAAAAAAAAAAGGTTTTGATGTTAATGTGAGTGTACACAAAAAAAGAAGACCCTCTATAGTTTATAATCATGTATTGATTTTATTTATATGACCATAAATGACGGAGTATTTTAAGTCTATGTTGCTGCTATGTGAAAAAAAAAACGCGCGGGCGCGTTCTTGGTCCCCAGAGGGTTAAAATTAATTAAGTACTAATTTCTTTTAACCTCAATTTATTCAATTCATCACCACACCAAACAGACAGGATACATCGCTATACCTTTAAAAATCAACCAGATGGAGGTATCTTAATAAGCAGGATATTATTCAAACCTTGGATTCGGACATGCCCTGATGCCTTCCTACTTCCAGATACTGCCTGTCAATGCAGCTTTTTTTCCAGTTTAGGACAAAGCCTTTGAGTCAGGGATAACAGACAAAGAGGGGCAAGCAGGTCATACGTCCTAATGCCAGATATATCAATGGATCAGACCACAGTATAAGGTCAGCGGCCCTGAGATGTTTTCCCCAAAACTGGCATCCGAGCAGAAGGCAAGCCTTTCATCAGAGCAAACTGAAAAGGACCTGGCAACCCCTGAATACTGATTACAGTAACTACAACAATAGCCGTGTTTGTTGTTCTAGTTTAGTATTTAAGGGGTTATTCGGGTCTTGTTTACAGGAACTCTTTCCCAAAGCTGTTTGATGAGCTGTTTGACGCCATTACAATGATAACATCCTAGTGGCTTCAGCAAGATTTTGACCTTTACATCCGCTGAGAGTGTTTACAAAAATTACATGTTGTGACGCTGAGATTTCAGAAGCATTTTAGAACAAGCTAAATACAGTACATTAGCTTACATGAGGGTGAATGTGTGTATTTTCGCCCATACCCTGCTTTGATGTAGTCCAGGAACGTGTGTTCGGCCTCCACCGAGAATGAAAGCATTGTCACCTGGGTAATTGAGCAACAAAGAACAGATGGTTTACAACAGCATATGCGCACAAACCACATCTGCAACGAAACAATCCATCATGGCATTATGCAAAGACTCTCTTCTCTCAGCTGTCAGTGCCACACAGTCTTTTTCATTAGTATTGTCATTAGACAACCAGGATCTTTCCATGTTGGGAGGAAGACAGGTGATGGACTATTCATTTGAGTTTTGATTAAAATCTCAAAGCCAATTCATGGCAGTCAATGCGGAGAGTCTTTGTGGATCATCAATCACTGTTATCCACCCGGACCTCCGATATTACTTCCTCACTGCTCTCCTTATCAAAGTGTGAAACAGAAAGCACTATCCAGTCAAGGGACTTGGATCTCAGATTGTCAAATAGTTTATCTGAATAATAACCAGACATACTGAGCCCTTGTGGAATACAGCTGGACACATATATTTAGTGTTGTAAGAATGCAGTTAATTCAATGCAAAACATTTAAAATGTTGTCTTGGCATCAAACTGAAAAAAATGTAGTTTAAAGGTGCTGTATGTAAAAAATTTTTGGACTGTACTAAAGCATAAACATATCATAATATGTTTGCAGATATTTAGGAGACATGCTAAGTTCACATACTCGTTTATCTGATAAACAATGCTATTGCCAGTTATTCTACTTTGAATTGTGCGTTCCGTGTCGGAATGCCTGTTTTTGTTTTGGTATGTGCGATGCCGCACGCTGCCAGTTTAACCACTACTATTTCCACACCCCCGGTTGCCAGTTGGCGGAAAACACAGCATATTGCATATTCCAGACCTAAAAGAGCCCCAGCATCCATCTAAAAAACCTCTATGAACGGGAGCATATTAAAATGCGGATAACTCAACAACTTACAGTGTGTAAGTCTCCTCGGCTTTCATTGTTAATTGGGCTCTCTCCTGTTGCGTGTCTTCAATCTGGCAACCTGCTTGAGCATCGAGTCTGAGGAGGGGGCGGGGGAAACAACTCTCTCTAATGTTTTGAATTTGGACTGAAGTACCCATTTCAACCACTAGCTGTCAATATTACATATTGCACTTTTAAGATGAAGTACAAAAATGACTAAAACTAAAATTGAAATGAAAATAAATGGAAATATTAAAAAACAAATAAAAAGCAGTTTTCATTTTAATTTTAGTTTAAAGGATTAGTTCACCTCAAAATGAAAATTTCCTGATAATTTACTCACCCCAATGCCATCCAAGAAGTTCATGTCTTTCTTTCTTCAGTGGAAAAGAAATTAAGTTTTTTGAGGAAAACATTTCAAGATTTTTCTCCACACAATGGACTTCAATCGCAACCAACATGTTGAAGTCCAAATCAATGCAGTTTCAAAGGGCTTTGACGTGCTTCAAAGGGCTGTGCACGTTCCCAGCTGAGGAATAGGGTCTTATCTAGCGAAACGATCGTTCATTTTCTAAAAAAAAAATAAAAACTTTATATACTTTTTAACCACAATTGTTCGTCTTGTGCTGGTCTGCGGGATTACGTCATCTATCTAAGTTATTTGTCTGTGTACTCCGGTTCAAAAAGGCAGGGAAGGGCGAAAAATTCCATCTCATTTTCTCCCGTTTTCTCCCCCAACTTCAAAATCGTCTGACATCTTTGTTTTAATTTATTATTATTATAAAAAAAATTTAAAAAACGTGACGTTTCCAACGTGATGATGTAATGCCTGGCGCGTCGCCGACCAGCACAAGACGAACAATTGTGGTTAAAAAGTATATAAATGTTATTTTTTTTTAGAAAATGAACGATCGTTTCGCTAGATAAGACCCTATTCCTCAGCTGGGATCGAGCACAGCCCTTTGAAACTGCATTGATTTGGACTTCAACATGTTGGTTGCGATTGAAGTCCATTGTGTGGAGAAAAATCCTGAAATGTTTTCCTCAAAAAACTTAATTTCTTTTACGCTGAAGAAAGAAAGACATGAACATCTTGGATGGCATTGGGGTGAGTAAATTATCAGGAAATTTTTATTTTGAGGTGAACTAATCCTTTAAGTAGTAACTAAAAATATAAAAATAAACCTTAATAAAATATTACTTTTAGTCAAAATATAAATAAATACTAAAATCAGTGTTTCCATTCATTAACTAGACTAGCAGCCCGCCCGTTTTCATAATGAACTGAAAATATATTTAAACTTCTCACTGTAACATAAAAGGTCTTTAACGTTGTGTTTTCCGCCAAAATAAAAGCATACATGTAGCGTAAAATGAAATAACATACTTATTAACATATTTATTTTACAGTGCATTTGTTTCACAATTTATGGCTATTACTGTCCTAGGAATAATAATAATATACTATGTTAATATGTTTATAATATGTTTTCCTTTGTTCAATTTGCACACTGAACATGGGTTGGAGCTCTTAATTTTGAACTCTCAAAGTTCAACAGATTGATGAATTTAACATGTACAAAATTTTCTTCCGGTGGAGCATGTCCCTGGACTATCCTAGAGGGACCGAGGTTCACCCCCCACAGTCTAACTAAATCCTGTAGAAAAATACTAAGATAGCCCTGTTGCTAAAGACAGAAAAGCTTTTTTTCAGAGAACATATCTTGAATTGAGTTTTGTTCTTATTTTCCATTTGCAAACTTTTTTTTTTTCTTATTTTAAGTATAAACCTCACTAAAACAATGTGATATGAAATATAACCTTAATTCAAGATATATTGAAAACAAATCGTATTATCTTATTATATCTAACCTGTTAAAACATTTGTAGCCTACTAAAACACAAGATTCAAAAAAATATTTTTGTGCAGGTTATTAAGAGAGCAAATTCACTACTCACTGTGCCAGAGTTGATGTATCTTCTCTTTTTGAGTTTCTTTTTAGAATTCACCACCTGAAATATAAAATTTAGAGATGACACATCACTTACAGGAAGAGTGGGAGTATGTGTGTGTGTGTGTGTAAGGGAGAGAGGGAGAGAAAGAGAATGAGAAAATAAATGTGGTTCTTGTCCAAAAAGAAGAAACGTTTGAGAGAACTGCTACTGGATCATTTCCAGGCTGCCAGTCATTTTTTTTTTGTTCCTCATACTTTAAAGGACACCACTGTTCTAAATGTTCAGATGCTTTGACAAATCCAGCTCAGGTCAGTTACATACGCAGCCTTGGCTAACAGTTTGGAAACCAGGACACAGATGATTTGATTTGTATGGATTGGGGTTTAGCTGAACCGACCCTGCAGCTTCTAGTGTTGTTTGTCCGACTCAATCCCCAGGAAACCCCAAATCCTTTCAGCACACCGCTGAGACTGTCACACTCCTGTAGAACATCTTACCACCCCCTCACCCCACCACTGGGCTAATGCTAGGGTGAATACATACATACACACAGCACTTTTATACACACCCAACCCTCTCCTCCTTTCTCATACACAAAAAAGATTGAGCTCCTAGATAAAACAAATATTCAAGATCACAAAGTATATGTGCATTTTTAGCTTGATTTATGTTGTGCACTGTTATGGAATTTTTCTATTATTACTCTGATTTCAGTGATTCCTAATGATGGCCTCATCTGTTCTCACGAATGTAGTGAGAGGGGGCCTTTGGGTGATAATTTACTGTGGTTGGGAGTCAGTGGAGGTAAGGAAAAGCAGGTGGTCAAGGGGTTATCTTGAGTGCATTTGTACGTTATAGCCTAAATGGTTAAGGGGGCATTTACCTCTCAGGGACAGGGAGAAATAGGAAAAAAACAAAGTATATCTCTCCTGTGAGGGGTGGGCAGAAATAAGGCCTTGGAGGACGCAAGATATAAAAAAGACAGACACTGCTTCTCTTTATCTCTCCTCACTGACTCACGAATGTGTATTGGTGACGAAGATCTCTTTTGCAAGAGAATAAATATTTTATAAACTATTAAATTGGACTCAGAGGCCCCTATCTTGCACCCGGCGCAAATGACTTTGTACACTGACGCATGTATCATTCCTATTTTGCACCCGCGCAAAGCGGGCTTTTCCCTCCACAGACGCACGCCGGTAAACTAGGAAATGAACTTGCGCTCCCTGGGCGGGTCGGCGCAAAAAGGAGGCGTGTTCCGGCGCAAACATTCCCTGGTGGTATTTTGCAGTTCCAGAAAACAATTGCGCCACTGACCAGAAAAAAACTAGTCTAAAGTCAGTGGGGCGTTTCAGATGCTATTTTAAGCGCGCATGCTTGGCCATAATACAGAGTGTGAACAACGCGCATACACTGTAGATGATTCTCTCATCTACACAGATGCATTTTACTTTTTGCAAATGATATATTATTATAAGGAAAAATATTAAAACACGAGGGAAATCATTGTTGTGTCCATGACAATTTGAAAAATAGGCATAAAGCTTACACATTTATCCCGATTATTATATGCATGTTTAACCGAAGCTAATTTGGGTGGGTTTGTCCCGTCCCCAATGTCACTTCTCTTTCTTTAACGGCCCTGACGAGAACATCGATCTCCTCGGCTGTGAACCGATTCTGAAGCGCGCCTGGTAAATGCGCCGTTATAATAGTTTTGCGCCATGGAACAAGCGCACCTCGTTCATCATGCTCTTAAAGGGAATGTGATATGACGCTCTTATTGGTTTGTTTCCCGTTACGCCCAAACCACACCTATGAATAATGAAGCTACTTCAGACAACCCCTTTTAGATTTGCGCCTGGCGCAAGAGGCATTTATCCCGCCGGGAAAATAGCAACAGCGCCGGGATCCGCCCACAAAGTTACTTGCGCTTTGACACTTGCGTTTCAGATCGTTAAAATAGGGCCCAGAGTGTCTCTTACTCAGTGATGATGTTTGTTGGACAGGAAAAGCCACAACAATTTGGTGTCAGAAGAGTGGGATTCCTTGGAAGTGGCTTCTGGACCTGAGAGCGGGCGGTGTTTGGCCACCTGGACTGAGCAGTTCCAGCTCTACCTCGTAAGCTTGCGAGAGAGGGGCCGACCGCTATCGGGTCCGGGAGGGGCTCCACTGGAATCAAAAGAAAGCGAACCCGTGGCAACCAACATATCTCTGGTAAGAGACGTCTAAAATATTTTCTTTTGGGGAAAAGTATTTTGTTTCGGGTATGAAATGTGAGTGAACCATATTGGCTGAGGGCTGTTTCTGTGGTACGTAATCTGAGATTAATTGAGATCTATATATAGATCAAGAGGTTTCAAACAGATACGAGAGAAAATTGTCTGAGATTAATTGAGGTCTGTAACAGATCAAGAGATTTCAAACAGATAAGTACCCTGAAAATTAGTTGTTCCACGACGGAGCAAATTGTTTTTAGGTACTGAGGCTAATTAGGGGGAACCAGAACAGTTTTTGGTAAACCATAATTAGGAGGGCACTAATAGTGCAACCCGACCGATTTGGGTTAAAAGAGAAAATCGGGTCTGTTGGGGACGCCTAACAGATCAGGAAAACGCGCGTTGAAGAGAAATCCACAGACAACAGAGAAGCAGCCAATATGGGGAAGTCTCAAGGTAAGCATGCAAAATTTGATACACCGGTTTTCTATCAAATGAGAAAATTATGGGGGAAAATTTATGTTTTAGATATTGAAAAAAACTGAGAAAATACCATGATTTCCCCAGGGAGGGAACACTGAGCACAACTAGACTGAAAGTAGTGCGAGAATCAGTTGAACAGGGCAGTGAGAAACAAAAAGGTTGTTATGGCTGTGTTCAACGTGTGTAAGCAATGTGGACAAACAATGGATTGTTGTCTTAAAGGGTCAGATAAAAAAGAACTGTAGAGAGAAATAAGGTTTTTACTTCTTCATCCAGTAAATGGATGCATGACATTAGATGTCTAGAGAACTTAAATTTATATGATAAGGATTGAAGTAGCAAGCAGCAATAAGGCTGTCTGTGTGAAATAGAGGATTGTAATTTGATATTTTGGTTTCTGCAAAACAGTAAAGATAAGTGGGACTGAGACAATACGGATAATATTTTTTTTGGATCTCAGACTAACCATTTGATAAAGGAATACTGTGAGAAGTAGTTATAATGAAAAAAAAATAAAGTTAAAATTAATGTTATCAAAACAAGGGAAAGATTGGAAATTCAAGTGTCACTATGACGGGTGAGAGACTTGATGGAAGAAGAAAGTGAAAAACAAAAGGTTGGTGTGTGAGATATGTTTGTGTGGGGATTGTGCAAACAATCATGTACTGGTTAGATAATGAAGGAACTGGCATGTTTGAGAAAAGAAAGGAGAGGATAATGAAGGAAACTGGCATGTAGGGAAAAGAAAGGAGAAATATAGTAGAAAACTATATGTGATGAAAATAGACATGGTCTGACAGAATTTATGGAAGTCAAATTAACTGTTTAAATGATATGAAAAGTTTTAGAATAAAATAAGGCATTGTATGATTGACAGGGATTAACATGATATGAAGAATGTTTTAAGCAGAATGGGGAACAATTCTAGATTTTGATAAAATAATGATTGAAATGATGATATTTCTGCTTTATTTTATTAATGTTAAGAAAATAAGGGTATTGAAGCAAGTAGCTATAATGGTTGTCTGTGTAATTTACGGACTGAGTAATATAATCTGTTTTGGAGAAACAGTAGAGATAAGACTGAGACAATAATGATAATATTAAGTTGAATCTGCAGACTAACCATGTGATGGAAGAAAAAAAGGCTTCAAACCAGTTGTAATGAAAATAATGATGTACAAATTGTTACACTTTATGAAGAGTAACTGAACAGTCCGGGAAAATAAATAAATAGTGAGACAGAAGAGAGCAAATGCTGTAAACAGCTCTGCTCTGAAGATCTCACTTTGAAGAGATTTGCAGATGATGTTTTGTAAAAGATAAGCTGGGATAACAGCAACAGTGCTTGCTTATTCGCCCGGCTTCCGGATGTTAGACATGTACTTGTAATTAGTGTTGTTGATGATAATACCAAATTAGTAAGGTAAAGACAGAAAACAAATTCGAATATTTTGAGCATTTTCTGTGCTGCTCATGAAAATGAATGTGTTGCCAATGATAATGATAATGAAGATTATGATTTGGCTATTGTGATTAAATCCGCCACTGGTGGACTGTAAAAGAATACAGAGAACTGCTTAATCAGTGGCTCTGTTTACATTCCTGAATGGGACACACACTGCTTCAAGGGTGTGCAGTAAGTTGGAGCCGTTTGCAAGCTCACAGTGATCAAACTATAGTCAAGGTGTCTGATGCTGTAGTTGAGGCTGACACATGAACCCACCAGATGACAGAGAGTGTCTGGATTGTGGTCAGCAGGACCATTTAACACGTAACTGTAAATGCCCACCGAGAAGGTGTTTAAAAAAAATGTGATAGTGACACATTTCTGATAATAGTGTGGGTTTGAAAGTAGATCAGTGTTTAAATGACGACATTAACATTTTGTCTGAGAAATAAGAGATAAAAAAAACAAGGTCAAAAGATTGAAGTCTTAAAGTGAATCCTTTTGTGTGACTCCAACAAATGTGAGTTGCAAAATATGTAAAGGTAACTAGAAGGATGATTGTGTTTTAATTAAACATTTTTAAAAGGGTTCAGGTAATATAGAGAGACAGATCTCAAAGATGATTTATAATAACTGCAAAAGATGCAGAGTAGCCTTGTCAAAGTTAGTGTGAATCCTGATTGGAGACTGATAAACTCCTAGAAGAGAAAACTTTGAAGTCAGAGATTAAACTATGGTAATTGAGATTGAGAAATGTGAAACGTTATTGAGAACTAGAATAATTACCATTATGTAAGAACAAATAAGCAGAAGCAGTAGGCTACTGAATTAACAGTTGCTAAATGTAAAATGTGTTGAAAGGCATCTGATTAAACAAACAGCTTGAAAAGTTGACCATGAAAGAA